ATAAGATGGTGAAGAAACTTATGGAGAAATTTCAGAAGTAAGTTAGCATTGCATGCGTTGTGTGCTGGGGGGAAGCACTTCCATTTGGGAAAAGCTGTTTGATTTTGAGCACTTTGTGCGTTAGGGAGATTTGAGTACAGTTCTTTGATAAGTGGAAGATCTGCTACATATAGGGCTCAGCTTTTAGCTTCCTTGTTCATACAGAACACTTCTGGTTATTGAGACAAAAGCTAATAAGAAACGGTGACTTGTTCTGCTGTTAGCACTGCAGTTTTATTGGAGCTGTTACACTTTGTTCCCTTCAGTTTAGCCTGCAGTTATATCTTAAGCACGTTCATAGCAAGTAAGTGAAGGAGTCTCCTTTTCCATTATGTTTCTAGGGAATGTTTTCTGGATGTGTATTCTGGTGTGTATTTTCTTGTTTGTTTTCCTTTGAGCTGTTAGGATGAGATGAAGGCACTTCCCAGTTTAAGGATGCACAGGTAGTTACTTGCTGTTTGCCACACCAAAATATAGTAATTAACACTCTTCCTTGCATTTTCATACCTGTAGATTTTCTGTTAATGACTCATCCTAAGAAACTTCACATAATTGACTGCTGTTTCGTATGGACCCAGTGAAACCCACCAAAACTACTTCAAGCTTGGCAGTGCTTAGCTCATGAGCTCCTTGTGCCTTTTGGATCTTTGCAACATATTGATGGTGATTTGAGGATTTGAAAGAACCTACTCAACTATTTTGTGGCAGTGCACATGGTTTTATATTTTCAGGAAATTATTTTGTAAAGAACAACTTTTAATATTGTAGTTTCACCTGTTTAATCTGATAAAAGTTGAGGTGCAGTTTTGCTTTTAGAAATAACCATTACTTTAGTTAATAGGAAGTGCGAGTACAGTATGTTTTGATGCTGTTTTGTTCCTGTGCACAGGGATGTACAGGTCTTTTGTATTCCTGAGTTAAACTTTTGTAAATCACTAACAAGCTTCAGAGAAAATAGCTTTTTCACGAGCGTGTTCGAAACGTAGTGGCAAGGTTATTGCTGTAGCACCTGCTTCAACCAGCATATAGTTATCGTGCCCTGGGAAATAAACCTGCAACAGTATCTACAACGATTCTAAATTGGTACAGTATTTTAGGCAGCTCTATGATTAAATACATTTGAGAGCAATATGTCAATAGTTTGCAGGTGATATGTAGCAACAGGACTGTCCTGATGTACAGTACGTGTATTACCTTTAGAACAAGTAGGAACTCGATCTTACATCGTCACGGAAGGAAAATTAAAGCAATACAGTTGAGGGGGTGGGGCTTTTGGCAATAATGGACGGCACCTGAAGTCCAATTTAATTTAATGTTTCTCCTCTGACTACGAGTACCTGGGTGGAAGGGAGCCAGAGAAGCCGAGCGTCGCATGACCGTACCTCACGAGCAGGTATAAGCGTAACACCAGCGTTCTTTGTGGTGGTGTTGTTTCTCCTGTAAGATATTTATACACATTTTTGTTCTTAAATACATTAAATACATCGGCATAATTTGTTTATAATTTTCTGGAAGTGTATTTTAAATATGTATTTACCAGTTAATATGCAAAGAGCTGAGTTATAGATATTCTTTCACACACAGGTAGTACTGTGCAGTACAGAGTGATTTTTTTCATAAAAAGTAGGTAAGACTATAAAGTTGCTTTCAGTTATATATTTATGGTACTGCTAGATGGGTAATCTCTTCTGTTTTGTTTTGGTTTTGTTCTTTTTTTTTCCTTCTTTTTCAACCCAGTATGTATATTATGCTGAAGTTTTGAACTGGGATTGTTTTTCAGTACTTAGCTGTGCAACTGTTGGTGTAAATTTATTTTTTTGATAAAGGCTGGGTGTGTTTATTTTATGGTTCAGACCTGCACATTTTGTTTTTGCACAAAAGTCATTTTAAAGAATCTGAAATATATCTGCCAAATATTGAAAAAGTAATGGTGTGCAAGTAAATACTGCATTTTTAGTCAAATGTTGCCATTACATCGTTTTTATATAAAGGACACTTGTGAGAGATGGTGGTTAGATATGCCAAGGACAATTATTTTCAATGGTGCCTACACTGTATAAAAAAAAAAAAAAAAAAGAAATTACTTTTAATTCCTTGTTTTAATTTTAAGAAAGTGTTTCTGTTTAAAACTTTCATCTGCTATATAACTGAAATTCGATTAGAATTTATATCTGAGAAACAAAGTCTGGAAATAGTTTTTGAAAACAATGTTATGGATTAAATAAATATTTTTATAAATGTAAAAGCAGCAGAAGTTGTAAATACAGTTGATCTGAAGCTTTACAGAATAACTGCATCACGGAAACAAATTGTAGTGCTCCTCTAGCTTCTGTAGTTGGTAGTCTTGTAAATCTGTTTATAGATGAAGCTTATTTCAATGTTTTGGGGGGTTTTAAATGGTTTAAAAATAAATATTTAAGTTCTGTAAACTTTCACAAGCTTCTTCTGTCGTGCGTTTTGTTCTGGGTTTCCAATAGACGTGCAGAGGTGTGGAATCCCCCTGAAGGCTGGCGTTGGTTTTCGGCAGAGGCACGCAGAGCTGCGTGGGCATCCTCATTAAAAAGGCTTGGGGTCCCCCCACCTCCATGCTGTTCTCATCCCAGCAGCTGCTGTGCAGCACGGAGTGCAGCTCCAGTGATCAGCTTGGTTTCAGTCCCACAGAGGCATCTTCAGGGTCAGACAAGCATTGGTGCTCCGACAGCCGCGTGCAGGTGTGGGAGTGCTGCTGGGTGCCATGGAGCGTGGTGCAGAAAGGCCTCAGCTTCTGTCTGCTGCACCTGTCTGCTAAATCTCATTTTAAACACCTGCATACTGATTTCTCAGAAGTAAAAGCACGTTTTTATTCCGTGCCACCTCCTTTTAAGGTACTTTTTTTATGAGGCCAGGTGGAGGGGTGATGGGAGTTTTGTTGAATGTTTTGAGTGGTGGCTCTGGCCTGTGGACTCAGGGTCTTTTACTCTATGCAACTCTGTCACCAATTCTGGGTAGCTGGGAGTAGTGAATTAAGGGGAGAAGGGAACATGTAGTCACACCACAAATAGGACAAGTTGCTGAATGTTGGTGTGCCCCATGAAGTGGGTGGATGTATACCTACCTGTTAGGACTGTGTGTGGAGGGGAAATAATCCACGTTGTCGTTCTCTTACAGCATCAGTCCCTTTAAAACTTCATTTTACTGCACGTGTCATTTTTGCACTTAAGATCTCTGCTTCATAGGACAGTAACTCTTCAAGAATGGATGTCTGTGCTACTGGTTTTTAGAGGACACTTGACTTTTTCCCCATTTTGTATTAGTTGTTGAACTGCGTAACTTAACACTGTGCTGTTGCTAGCAGGTAACCAATGGGAAAAGGTACCAAAATACTCAGGCAAGAGCCATCTTGGTTGGTTTGTTAGTTGTCCAACTGTACATTGAGAAGAATTGCTATTGAAGTATATATCTTGATGAAACCCCAGCTGATTTCTCTGATACTCTTCTATGTGGTAAGCATGTGGTATAGTGAAAGCCTGTTCTTGCACTCAGTTGGGTGTCAGTAGTTGGGTAGGAGAGTATATAGATTCTTAATGTTTGCACAAAGCTTAGTGTTTGTTAAAAGCCTGGTTTTTATTACACTGTTTCATGACTTAACGCTGAAATAAAATTATTTTCTGTGCAAAGTTGTGTTGGTGTGTATGCTGGCTGGCCTTATTTCACACTGTTCCAAAGAACAAAGTTACTCTTAACACAGAAATGAGTTAGATAGGCTGAAACCTTAGTGCTCCTCCAGAGTGATGCTCTTCCTGTACTGTGTATGTTCTGATGTTTTATACCCTAATACACACACAGGTAGCACTGCTTGCTTGCTTAATGAGTACCTTTGCCTTTTCCTGTGTACTGATATCTTCCACCGTCAGCCATTCAAATCCTTCTGTCATCCCTCCATACCCTGGTTTTCTTTTACTAGTAAAAGTGTGCTCAGTTGATATTCTTTCCTTTTTTTGGTGAATGGGGCAAAGAAGAGACAGCGTCCCATACTGTCCCATACATCCCATATTAATCCCATGGTTAAGGATTTTCTTGGTTATCCCTTTGCATTTGTGCTTACTGTGATCGTTTCTTTATCTTACCTGGTTCCAGGAAAGCTGTTTATGTGATGAATTTAGTGTAAGATGTTTGTTTCTATCACTTTCTCCTTTGTTCCTCCGCTGTTTGCTGGTCGTCATGTATGATGTGCTGAGTTGCAGTGTGCATGCTGTGTCCCAGAGCTCTGTGCTCAATGGAAAAATCCAAAAATAGCCTCCAAGTCCTCGTTTCTCCATCTCAATGTAGTTTTCCCAGCATAGTCTTGCATGCCAGAGCTGACAGTTCCTGAAGGTTTGTGCACTGTAGTTGGATGAGGATGATGTCTTTTGGTGGGACTCTGGGCAGCACCCAAGGCAAGGCTCATCTTGGCCTGCCTTTGCTCAGCTCCACATGCTCAGGACCTAGCAGTGACTGCAGATTTCCCTGTGTTCTTAAGGTATGACAAATATTTAAGGGGTATTCTTTAGGGACCGTGTATAAACCTTGTAGTAGCTTACTTTTTCCCTACCCTGTTACACATGTGAACTGCATAACACCCAAATGCTATTTCTGATGTACAGTGTGGGAAAGGGAAGAAACAACTCTTCAAGTTTTCTCTTTCTTTAATAGAGCAATCCCAAAGCAGCATGGAGGGTGAAGGTAATTCACAGCTCCAGCATGGAAGAATCTAGAGCAAAAGTAAACTCTGCTCTGCTATTGATCTAGCATGTTTCTTTGGGCAGCTGACCAAGAATGTGGCTGTTTTCAGCAGCACACATTGAGCCTTAGTGGTTGCTGAGACAATGAAGGCACAGAGGGAACTGAGACCAGCAGCCCTGTGGAGCACTGAGGGCTACCAGGGAGCTCTGAGGTGCAGGGGAAGGTGGGTCACAATCAGATAAGGCAAAAAGGAAACCAAATTTCAGCTGTGAACAACTGCTTTTTATTGTCCAGCTTCTAAAACAAAAGACAATGACGCTCAGTGTGAGACAGTAACCATAAACCTTGTTCTTTGTATTTAATCTATTTGGTCCTTGCTTCAGCTCCTGTGTTCCTGAAATCCATTCCAGTATCTCACAGATATACTGTCCCTATTGTAGTCATGTCCTACAGCCTCATGGAGTTATTAAAAATCAAACAAAAAGTAGAAAGATCTTCCTCTAACATCGTACCTCTGTAGCACCATTCTCCTGTTGGCAGATGGCCTGTAGTTGTAGGGTAATGGTCTTTTTATTACACAGGAAAAAAGAAAAAAAAAATGTGTGCAGCTGCTCTCAAGGGCTGGGAGCATGACTGCAAGGTGAGGTAGCAGGCAAGCTCTATGCTGGGACAGTGGCAGCTCTGTGCCCATGCTGCTCCCCTCAGATGGGGAAGCGTGTGCTTCCCCAGGGCTGGGAAAACAAGATGTTTATGAACTTTGAGGGGATGCAGCTGCCTTTTCCTTTCCACCCAGTGTGATGATGTACTGATAATGACAGCAGGGGCTGAGCTCTGAGCCAGCCTTGCGAGGACTGGAAATGGTGGCTGTGGGGCTTTGGGAGAGCCTTAGCCCTTCTGTGTGGTGTTGGATCCCCAGCATGGGAACAACCTGGTGACAGCAATGTGCCATCTTCCTTGTGTGCCACAGGAGATGGGTACTTCTGGACGCCCTCAGCTATCTGTTAACACATCCTCTACAACTAACATCACTCACACAATACAAGCCAACCACCTTGTTTCACAAACAACAAGCAGGACTGTGATCCTTCAGCAGCCTTGGCTCTGCCCGGCCTCTCCTTTTGGCAGGCAAGAGGCACCTACGTGAAATACCTGGAGGCCCCCCTGCAAGTCCTCTCTTCAGCAGCACCGGTGGCCAAGGACACCTCTTCATCCTCCTCCTCCTCCAGCTGCAGGCTGCCCGAGGACAGCCGCACACGGGCCCTGGGTGCCCGCAGCACTCTGCCATACAGGGAGCAGTAGTCAGCAGCCAGGAGGTCGCAATCGGAGTCGCTGGACTCGGTGCTGCTGCCCACGTAGCGCTCAGCACGCCGCAGCCCTGGCACTGCACGCTGCTGGGCCAGCACGTGCTGCAGCATGCCGGCCTGCCGGCTGCTCAGGGCTGGGCACGGACCCAGGGGCCTGAACTCAGAGCTGTAGGGGAAGCGGATGGCTTTCATGTCCGACTGACTCCAGGAGCGCTTGGGAGGCTGCTCCTGAAGGCTGTAATCGAAGGAGCGAGCCGGCTGCCTTCTCTCCCTGGCTGGGCCCACGCTGGCACCCACAGCCCTGTGCGAGGCTTCGTGCTGCAGTTCCCCCATCCAGGTGCTGCCGGGACCCCAGTTGGCCGTTTTTGTGGCCACGGGGATGCACCCACCGGCCGCTCCCTCTGCCTCCTCGCTGGGCGCAAGGCATGGGGGCGGCGGTGGCCTGTCTACATAGAAGAGGAGCTGGGAGGCCGGGGCGGGTGGCAGCGGAGGGCACGGCACGTCCATGTACACCAGCGGCCTGACGCTGACCTCCCGCATGTTGCCCACTGAGGGGCTTCTGCTGCTCCCAGCAAACTTGTGGTGGGGGTGGAAGGACGTCAAGGGGTTCCTGCTGCTGAAGGGGTCGGTGGGCTCCCACGCCCGCTCCAGCTCCAGCTGGGTGTAAAGCAGGGGGAAGGCGGAGCTGCTTTTGGAGTGGGGCAGGAAGGCTGGGATCACTTCGGGCCTGGAGCGCTCCAGCTCAGCAGCAAACATCATTGCTGTGGCAGATCCGCTGTGGCGGCTGTCCAGCGTGGGCTCGGAGGTGTGCACCCCACTGGTGGTGCGGAAGGAGCCGCAGCTGCCATAGGCCAAGCGCAGCTCCTCCACCTGTGGGATGAGAGGTGGGTGGGAGCCCAGGGGCAAAGCAGGACCAGCGGTAGGATGAAGAGCCAGGTGTTGGCTCTGCATCCAGCTGCTCCCCACTCCCCCCCATAGGGTCATACCTGCTTGGACACATCCGTCAGGAGGTCCGGGGAGGAGCGGCACTGCCTCTCATCATAGTGGGACGCATAGTGCTTCCTGCAAGGCCGAATGCATGGATGGGTGCATGGCTCCCACCTTGGCCCTGCCACCCCATTCCCCCCCCCACCTCCCAGTACCTCTCGAAGGGTAAGCTTTTCATCTTTGCCTTCTTCCCGTGCTCCAGCAGCTGCCTCTGTGTCCTCCCACTACAGCAGTGAGGATGGAAAGGTGTGAGCAGTGCCCTCAGCCCGGCCCTGGGCAGCCTCACACCAAGGTTTTCCCCTGGGCCCTTACCTGTAGCGGAAACTCGAGCCCTTGCTGCACAGAAGGGCTTTGGGCTTTGACTTGGGCTCCTCAGACAGCCGGAAGAAGGCATGGTACTCCACGCATGTCTTCCAGAAAGCCTTGCAGGCATCCCTGCTCGCCATAGTGAACTCCAACGTGTCCTTGCACAGAGTCTGCATGGCAGGGGACAAGCACACGGGGCTCAGGGTGCAGGGCTGTGTTTGGCTGCTTACCCATCCAAGCCCCAGCACAGCACTTACAGCAATGTTTGCATGGAGCTTGATGAGAAAATGCTTCCTCTTGAAGCTCAGTTTGCGAATTTTGGACCAGTTGAACGTGTTAATCTTCGTATTGCCCTGCAAGGAAGGACAGAGCGTTACTGTGGGACAGGACGAGCAGAGAATACAGAAATACAACTGGGCCAGAGCTCAGCTAGCAGGTTCTGCACAAGCTGCTGCTGCAGCTCTCAGTGCTCCTCCCTGGCTCCAGGCAAAGGGCTGCAGGGGTCTGGTGTTCATTTCTGATCTATCAGTTGGTTCCAAGAGTGGGAATTGATGTTCAGGACTGAATGCTGCCTCCTAAAGCTGAAACTGCAGCAGTCCAAGAGAAAACTCACAGTAGTCACAGCAGCACCCCATCTTTTCCAGCCCACGGGGCAGGTGAGTTAATGCAGAATCTGCTCTAGAAAGAAGTGCTCAGCTCACCTCCATGCCCTTAATGCCAGCTTGGACAGACTGCAAGCACACCTCACCTTTCTTATCATTACACATTGATTTGGACACAGCCACACAGTGGGAGCAGATGGAATTGGTGCCACGCTGTACTACAGCACTGATTCTCCTCTTGGCTTCCTGGGAGGGCTCAGGCTGCCATGAGCTCACAGATGCTCCAATCATGCCTGCACACAGGGGGTGTTTACGGCTTTCAATAAATCATGGGGTCTGGCAGCACTAATTGCCAACTGCAGACCCACAGTTAGGATTTTTTCTGTGCTGGCAAGATGTTCCCAGGTTGAAGTTAGTTGGTGTGGGAGGCGAGTGCTGTTTCACACCGGCTGCGAGGAAGTCTGTATTTACTCTGCTGCTACACTGTGATTACAGCATTATGTAATTGCACAGACAGTAGATGGCTATTTTTGCTGGAAGATTACATGGTGAGCGTGCGTGACACAGCCCTGTAACCTTTGGTGCTTACACAGACGTGCATGCAATGACAAAGGCTCTGCATGGGCACGCACTGCAGCGTGCAGCCCGAGCTGGCAAAGCACAGAGGCTGAGCCTGGGGCTGTGCCCAGAGCAGCTCCAAGGTCCCAAGCTGTGTGGGACTGGGAAGGGCTTGGAGCTGGCAGGGGGAGAGGGGAAGATAGGAGGATAGGAGGTGGTGCTCACCCGCAGCACCAGCACCCCCATGTGTGTCACCGCCAGGTTGATCTGCGTTCCCTCGCCGTCGCTGGCAGGGTGTGGGCGAATCCCATACATCTCCAGCTTCCTGGCCACATCCAGCAGCTGGGCATCTGACTCAGCCGGCGTCTTCCCCCTGGAATCCCAAATACATCAGGAAATGGAAGGAATTAATAAAAGGTTTTAGGCTGCAGGTATGTCAGGGTACTGAGAAGCTGTAGCACTGATGGAGAGGCAGAGCAGCCCTCACCTGTGCCGCCGGTGGTAGTGCATGATCTTGTTGTCCAGGTACTCCTGGTTGGGCAGGTACCTGTGCGTGGCCAGGTGCTGCTGGTCTGTCTCCTCGTGGAAGTCACCCAGCTCGGCTGTAGGGGGGACAGAAGGAGGGCAGGGTTGGGGGCACCCTGTGCTGCGTGGCTGAGGCAAAGCCCTGCAGCCCCGCTGCCCTTACACTGTAGCAGGTGGGAGACGAGCAGCGCTGCACTCTTGTCACTGCAGGGCAGCCTCGCCAGTGCCAGGTCCTTCTTGATCTGCAGGGTGAAGAGGTACCTGCAGGAGGGACAGGAACTGCCCTGAGCATGGATATTTCTATGGGACACAGAGCCAGGTGCACCTGTGCCCCTGCCCAAAGGATGGAGGGCTGGAGGGGGGAGCATGGGAGGAGCATGCAGGCCCCCCAAGGAGGATCCATCTGGGGACACCTTGAGCAGTGTGCCCCCACTGCTCATATGGCCATTAGTAGGTTTCAGAGCTAACACTCCTTTATGCTTCGGAGGGCATCTGTGTCTCTCGGGGCTAATGTTCCGCAGAAGCACTGCATTGGTTTTATCCTTAGTTCCTGTTTGCAGTGCTTTCTGTGAAACTTAAGAGCTCGCCCTGTCCATATCAAAAATAAAATGGAGGTTCTTCTTTCAGAACACAGCTTGAGGCAAGAGCCAGACGACTGAGAGCCCAACTGCTCAGACATTTGGCAGCGAGCACATTGCATTGCCATCGAGTGGATTTTGTATAAGAACAGAGCATCGAGAAAAGATACGCATTGGCGCCTTGTTTTGTACAGCACGGGGCTCTGTCAATATTTGGGATTACCACAGCAAACAGACAGGTTGGGTTGGATGATGGTAAGGAAATAAACACATGCGTAGTGACTGCAGAAACAAGGTGACAGGACAGTGAGGGAGCACAGAACAAACACGGTACCTCGTCAGCTCCTCTCGCAGGTGTCCGGGGTCCACTGGGAAAAATTTCACCATAAATTTGAAAAGAACCTCCTTAGGATCTTAAAACACAACACCTTCATAAGTTTTCTTTCACGTGGCTCTGGAGAACATTCACAACTCTCTTCACACACACCTCTCCTTATGTTACTCTGCCCCTTACAGGTCTGGAGCAGAAGCTCTGAGCGCTAGGGCCACCATCCTGCCCAGACCCCACCACCATGGATGGAAATAAACAAGGAGGTGAACTCCTCAATAGCATTACAGAAAACATGACCCCAAATCACTTGAAATTGTTAAGGGTCAGGAAGGGGATTTCTGCACCAGGAAGGGGTTCCTGCGGGAGCAATGCTCTGGGTGTTGCCCTGGAGTGGTGCAGCTGCCATTGGGGCTGCATGTTAAACCCTCAGCAAAATCCATGGGGTTTCCCTGGCCCTTTGAGCCCTTGGGATGCACCAGCTTCAGGGGATTCCAACTGGGCAGAGTTGTTCTGTGAGACAAGCAAGAGCAAGCCAAACCCAAGGCAAAGCATTTGGAGGTATGAAGCCAACTCTGTGGGCACCAAGAGAGCCACTGCAGGACAGCTCCAGGACTCCCGATAGAAGCACAGGGTCATGCATGGCCCTGTGCTTTTGACCACCTCCTAACCAACGTGTATTTGTAGCAAATATTTGGTTCATTGCAGGGGCAGGAACAGGCTGAAGGAGGGGCTGTGTTAGCACTGCTCATGCATTCAGGTCAGGCTGTGCAGCATCACCATGCAGCAGTGGGGCCTTGGGTATGGGAGGGAGCGGGGTCACCGCGTGCTGAATGCCTTACGGCTGGGCACCTGGGCTGCAAAGAGCTGCAGATGGGAAAGGAGGGCATTCAGAAAACGATCCCCACTGCTCTGCCAGCACAGCAGTGCACACACACAGCTACCCCAGCTGTTGGGATATGAACAGCTCAAGCCTAAAACATGCAGCTAGCACTTTGCAGAAACATTCCTGCAAGGGTTCATGTGTCTTTGCAAACAACCCTGCCCAGCCTCAACCCATTAAGGGAGGGCAGGTAAACGCCAGAAGGCAGAGCTCCCATCCCCAAGCACAAAGGACAGCAGAGTGCAGTGCTGTCTGGCTCCACAATGATTGAGAAGAACCTAATTCTGGCAATACTTACTTTTAATCTGCTTTGTTATGGGCTTTAGAGGCTCCAACCAGACCTGAAACAAGACAACAAAGAGTTAAGTCAGCAAACAGCACGAGGCCAGCAGAAATGAAAGCAGCAGCACCATGGTGGGATGCCATAAAGGAGCGTTGGCCATTGTGGGGCTATCATGCACTGCCACAGGTGGCTATGGGTAAACCCCATGAGCAAGCTGTGGTTGTCCCCAGGGCTTTGTCAGCCTGGCTCTGACCTGCAGCTCCCATTTTCAAGGTGTTCCCATCTCCATTTTCCACCCAGTGTCCCGATGCAGGACGCTGCTGCCACGCTGTGGGCACAGCACACACACTCACGTGGTTCCCAGCCTGGGTGCAGAACTCCAGCCCGAAGTATTCCTTCTCCACCAGGTTGAGGTGGCTGCAGGTGAGGTTGAACAGCCCCTTCCCGCAGGACTTTTGCTGGTGAGCAAATACATGGAGAAGCAACAGGTTAGCAGTGCTGACAGCATGGGGGAGGGGGATTCAGGGAGGTTGGGAAGTTGTTCATCCCCTTCCCTTCCGCTGAGGTGGGCTGTGGGTTGCTTTGTTACTGTGCCACAGCAAAACCTTACTCAGTAAATGTCTTTGTTAGATGGGATGGGACGATTGCAGCTTTATGCCACTTAGCTTGGCTCGTGGAGATCAGATTTCTCCCCATCACTTCTCACCTTTCTTTAGGAGCTTGATAAACCGGGAGAGATCTCTCAGTCTCGGGACACCCGTTGCAGTCACCGCTGTTGGGATTGGAGCTGCAGACAGACACTACCTGGCTGCCCCACAGCTAGGCACGATAAGCTGCAATTAGTGGTAATTAACAACACCAGAGCCTGCAGAGATCCTGCACCCTGGGTCAGCAAAGTGCTAATGAAGTAGCACCATGCTGTGACACGGGAGGCCAGAAAGCACCAAAACTAAACAGGGCAGAGAGAAAAACCAGCAAAAACTCAATTCCTAAGTTACTAACTTGGGCAGAGACACCAGGAACACAGACAGGTCGGCACAGGGGAAGCTCAGGGTTCGGGGGGGTGCTGTGGGTGGCTCAGGGCTCGGTAATGAGCACCTGTCACAGCCGCTGCCAGCTCTGCACTGTCAGCCTGCTGCACAGTGATAGCCTAATAACAGCATTTGCTCTGCAGCACACCCGGTTCTCCTTGAAATTACAAGATCGCAAGGCTAATTAAAAACAATTATAATGGTTGATTTCTAAGCTAGAATTTTCCAGCATGAAAGGCTTTGGCCTTTGTCAGGCGTGCGGGGAAGGCGGGCACGTCCCAGCCGGTTGCTCCCCACCCGTGTGTGGGCAGCGAGCTGCTGGCTGGGCTGCATGCATTGCACACAGCTGCTGCACAGGGCTGGGCTGCAGCCCACGTCCCCTAAATGTGCCCTCGGTGCTGCCTGTGGGGCTGCTGCAGGGCACAACGGTGGGGATGGTGGGAAGGAGAGGCTGTGGTCGCTCTCCTTCGCAGTGTTGCAAGCAGCAGAGCAGCCCTGTGCCCACCCAGAGCCAGGCACCCACTCACTGATACCTTCCCCTGCCCCGGAGCGCTGTGTTACGCTGATTTGTAACCAGGCCCTGCCATGTTTTTTCTCTGCTGTCCTTCTCCTCCCATTATACTGAAGTGCTCTCCATTAAAAAAAGCTTTCCAAACTCGGGAAGGGCTTAGGATGAGTGTCTCCAAATGCGTGCTCAAGACTTAGCCCAAAGCGGTCTCTTTCTAATGGAGAAGTCTCTAATCCAGTTCTCATTCATCTGAACCACACAGCATGAAACACACAAAGTGCCCCAAAGGGATTTCCAGGACCCTACCACGCTAAAAAAGGAAATGGCTTCGAGTCCCTCTAATGGAACCTATTTGTTGCACTATAGTGAGCAGAGGCACAGGACTGTTTTGAGCAAAGAAGAGAGCAGAGATGGATAACATGCAGCAATATTGTAACAGCAGCATCTTTCCAATGGTCTCTCACAGTGCCGTGATCTAATCAATACGAATCCCTGGCAAACATCTGTAAGTGACCACTCTCATTTTTAAGAAAAACTCAGGTCTAAAATGCATCAAAGAAACCAAATCAGACGACCTCCATGTCATCCCAAATGATGGAATTACTTTGCAACCCTCTTTGTGCAGAATCGCTGTCACAAAGCAACCGAACAGCGCATCGAGACTGAGCAGTGGTCTATAAAGGGAACACAAGAGCCTAAGAACTGCAACAGAACATTAAGAAATGAATTTCATATTAAACACAGCAGTCCCATAATGGATGCAGGTAAAGGTTAGAACAGATTCACTTGGATTATCTCATTCAATCAGCTGCTGTGATTAACAAAGCCCAACCAACAGCTCAGTCCCACTTCCAGCACACAGACAGGGCATCGATCACCTTCAGTTTCAGTCATCCATGTACACACACACCCCAATCCAACACCTCTGAGATCAATGTGTGACATATAAAAAGTATTCCAGCAGTGGATATTCAGAGCTGATACTCATTACCTGTGAATTATCAGTGACAGCGTGCCTTGGGACACTGCCATGTAAAAACAAGATACAGTCAGCTTGTTCCTTAGCTATTCCCAAAACCACATGCTTGTCTTTTTCATCCCGATGCCTAAGGAGAGATGCACACAGACGTTTCTCACCACAGGTTGTGTGGTTCAAGCTGCAATTTTCATGCTGTTCTCAGACTTATTTTTGCTTGCTGGATGCTAACACAGCAGCCAGAGAAACAAGAGCACCCCACCCCCGCCCAGAGCATCACCTCACCTTCCCCAGTATCCAAAGGATAACACCAGAGAAGCAAAAGCCATTCCTCTTTCTCTATAAGACTCTATAAGACACACTTACGTCCACTACAAAGATCTTCTGGGAGTCATCCAGGAACTGGACCTTCAGATGCAGCATCCTGGAGCCAGGCGGGCGCAGAGCCCTATTGCTGCGAGCGGCGTGCAGGGCAGAGAGCCCCCTCTGCTCGCTCACACTGCATCCTCCCCACAGCTGGGTGCAGGGCTGCACGCACAGATGGGCAGGGGAGGCTGCAGCAAGGGCACGGAATGCCTGAGAGAGGGCTGAACGGCATCGCTGTGCTGGAGGATTCTTCCCCCTGTGAACTGTGCGTCTCTTGCTATGGGAGAAGGCTGAGCACCGACGCTGCGTGCTGATGGGGCTGGCACAGAGGCCAGTAACACAGAGTTTTACAGATACTGGTGAGAAATGGGAAGGCGAAGCGAGGGCAGGAATCACACAGCTGGGTCAGGAGAAAGGGTTCTGCTGCAAAAGTGGCTGAGCAGCACTGTGCTTTGCTCTGCCTCACTGCAAGCAACCAGCCGGCCAGCAGCACTGGGGGAGCTCACCTGAGCCCCCAAAATGCTTCGTGCTGAACCAAACCCTGTGGAGCCCTTCTTGGGGATGCAGAGCAGAGCTTGGGCCTTATCCCAATACCATCTGAAAGCTCTGAGTTGTGTCCCAGGCACATAAGCCATGACCCTATAACTGCAGGACAGAGAAATACTGGGACAGGAGGTCCAGGCAAACCCCCTCCTGCTGCTGTGCTGACTCCGTGTGCGAGCACAGCCACCTCCTGCCAGCAAGGACCTTCCCAGCTCCAGGGAAGGATTCCTGGACTGCCAGTTCCTGGATTGCTGCTGGTGGCAGCTGGGGACCCATGCGGGCAGGGGAAGAAAGAGGAAGCAAAAGGAAAGGCTTTTCTCCAGGCTAACTCAGCAGGCAGCTGCCAGTGAGTGCTGTTATACACAAACACCTCATCAATTTGTTGTTGGGAGAAGAGTACAGTCGTCTGACAGGGCTGAAAAGCACCAACAACTGGCCCTGACTAAGAGAAGCTCCTTAACTCTTTAACAAAGACAATTCTTTCTCACTGATGCCACAAGTCATTTTGGTTTGAGCACATCTCAATCGACTCAGCCAAAAGATCTGCCCTTCCTGAAACTTCTGACCCAGAACCACCCTATGGATTGAGCACAGTAATGATGTGTTTGCATTTCCATCAAACTTCGCTAGCTCAGCAACAGCAAAATAGTTTGATGTTACTCTCAGAAGTCATTGCCAGGAAATAGAAGTGGTCGCATTGTTAATTCTGTGCTTTAGGTGCAGGATCATCAGCTATGAGCCACCTGTGCTTTGCCACCAGAAGGTGACACTGCAGCAACACTTCTCGCTCCAGTTTGCCCCACTTCTCCCCAGAAGGTGCCGTGCTGAGCGTAAGGGAGCGCTGAGCAGCGTCACCCCGGGCGGTGCCAGCACAGCGATGACACCGTGACACAATGACAGTCACCTGGAGGAGCGACAACCCCTGATCTCCCACAAAAAGTCTCCCAGTGTCACAGTGCAACCCCAGATGGCTGATAGAGAAATTAACTGCAAACACAAAACTTCCTGGGAACACTTCGTAAGACGCGCTGCGACCACGCTGAAATACCAGCGTCTCTCCGTTTATCTTTTGTTCTCTATCCCTACAGAGCTGTGCTCGCAGCCAGGCTCCCTCTCGCGGCTGTGGCTGACAACAAGATGCTGCAGGTAGCAATAAGGCTTAAATCAAAATCGATGGCGTTAGAATGGACCTTAAAGGCCATCTGGTCCAACTCCCTGCACTGAGCAGGGGCATCCGGAGCTCCACCAGGTGCTCAGAGCCCCATTCCCAAACTTGGTGCCTGCAAGGCTGAACACTCGAGCACAGCAGTACCACCACCCACCGTGCACTGAAGCACTGCCAGCTCTTTGTTGGTTTTTTCCCTCCAGATTTCACGTGTCACAGAAGAAGGATGGTTGGACTGGATGATCTTGCAGGTCCTTTCCGACCTCGCGATTCTATGATTCTATATCTATCTAGTACTATCAGGAAGCAAAGCAGAATTTGCTTTAAGCAAATGCAGATGGTATATAAGAATCCTAAATAGCCCTACTCAGCTGTTATTCAGAATACGTCAGTATCTCATTTTTAATAGGACAGTTGTGCTCGGTGAGGTTTAATTTTGATAGACCACTTCCAAGACACAAGAAAGCGATTTATACAGAAAAAGCAAAGCCTCTCAAGCCAGAGGAACACAGATGCTTCTATAGACTCAGGCACTGTTACTCAGGCATTATTTGGCATTCAGTCGTTTCTACAGGGGGATGCAGCTCCCTACATCTTTTGTAGCAGCAGAAAAACCCCAGGACTTGGCTTGGCTGTCCTCAGTTTGCACCAAGCCCAAACTCTTCCAGGCCCAGCCAACACAGCCCCACCCCAACAAGGCAAAGCAGCACAGGTTCACCTGCAGTCAGTACTGCTGTGAGGTCACGGTGCCCAGGCTCTGTCCTCCTCAGTGCTGTCAGATGAAGCCATCAACCCCTTCTGTACGGCTCTCTGAGTCACGTGCAGAGCTTCCCACCTTATGCTCCAAGGCAGAAAGCATCAGATGCCAGCTAGGAACTCATATTGGTTTCACCATGCAGGTGCTACACTGCAGAAACCTGAATGACAGCTGGGCAGCTTTCTGCTCACATAGCTCTGGCAATAGAGTTACGAGATCGTAAGCAGCAGCAACTGCTCAGCGGGAATTAAAGGCCAGGATGGTGGAAGCCTCTGCTGAGCATCGTCAAGAATGATCCTATGGCCAAAGGCTGATGCTGAGGAAGCTGTCAAATTGACTCTCCAACAGTTGAAGAAGAAAATGAGTGCTAGAAGAAAATATGGACTTCTAAGGAACTATACTGCTTACTTTCATGACAGATGTGGTTTCCCTCTTGGCTTGAGACAACCATCTCTAGTTGAGTAAGCCTTGATTACATCTAGGCAAAGAAACACACGTGTTGTTAAGGAGCCTCCAGGCTAAGGGATCAGACCCACCTCCACCACACAGACATCGACCTTGCGTCTTGGTAATGTTTTCACCCCTGGTAGCCTCTCATCTACAGCTCCCTTCCTTTGAAGACCTCCACCAGCTTTATCAAGACCCACCAAATTCCAAGCATACAGCTCAATTCAGAGCTGCAGTTGAGTGGAAGTCATTCTTTACAGCAGGAAGGAGAAGACAGCAGAGCAGCATCCACCCGAAGCTGGGAGCTTGCTGTTTTTGTAGCGATCCAAAGCAACCTCTATCCCACGGTTCCTCTTCCAGGGCCTTCCAGCAGAGCGTGCTAGCTGCAAGGCAGACACGATTTAAAGAACAGGAAACATTCACACACCATGACTGGCAAAAGGTTCCAATGGGACGTTCATAAAACCTTTCTAAGTTTGTCTTTTTGGCTTCATAAAAACAATTCAGTGTTCTGATGGGTGAGAAACAGCTGACGAAGTTAAAACACTTGTTTGGAGAGGTAACTAACAGACATTTCCCCAAAAGGAGCCACTCAAAGCCAGACTGCAATATGCTTCCAAACAGCCTGACCACAGGGAAAAGCCCTGAAGCTAAAATCTTTATTCAAACCTATTTTAAGGCTACATTTGCATTTCTGAGCTTAAGCTCAGTGCATTTGGCTTGTCTGTGCTAATTCCATCCAATGGGAACCAGTGCCAGGATCAGTGCCAGGATCAGTATGGTGACTGGGGTCGTAGGGACACAGGGCCTCAGGGGACTTGGAGAGACCCTGCACAGCAACCCAGCACAGCCAGGCAGGGCTGGGCACACCACACATGCTCCTTCATCCAGCCAATGCTCATCCACTGTTACCTTCAAAAATGCCCCATCACCTCCAAACGCACATCACCAGCACTTCAGCCTTCCTGACAGCTTTCTCTCACTTCCAACAGTTTCACCCAAAATTCAGTTTATTGCTTCTTGCTTTTCCGCAGTGACCACAGCCATTGCTAATTTGCATTTAAGAATAAGTGTCTGAGGTCTCTTACAGTGGCAGGATGAATCCCAGGCTGACAACGATCCTGTCTGGCAGTTCCCAAAAGGACAGGTAGCCCTTAAGGAAGGTCACAACACCAAGGAGCACAGGCGTATCACAAACCAAACATTAAAAGCACACACGTCCCTTCAGTGAGGATTAGTTCAGATTCCTGCATCACAAGAAACCCTCCCCCACCAATTATTGCAGATAGGTCCAGATTTTTGCAGAGCTCGAAGAGAACCACAGCTTTGAGAGAGGACCAGAGGCAAATTTCAAGCGTTGATTCCACACTAAATGTACACGTCCCGAGAAGAGCAATGCACTCTCTACAATCCCGTAATTAAACTGCATCATCGCTGCCAGCAAAGCTATTATCAGCTCAAGGCTGCCCTCAACAGAGCCAACAAATAACTACAGCGGGATTTAACCACGGCGCTGCTGTTGCTGATACGCAGCTGAAAGTTCACCTCCTCTGCTCCTTGCAGCTCTACGGACCGGGCAGAGCCAAAAACGGCTACTTGTAAAATAAAAGCCAATGATTTCACTTTCGCACCACGTGGAGCACAGAGGGGCAACCCTGTCTGCCCACGGCCTCCTCAGCTGCCACCCCAACGCACGGCCGAAATGCCCACCTCTGCACCGCAGGGCTGCTGACTGGCCAGCAGGGAGAACTCAAACCGATGAAAGCGCATTGTTTTAGAAGCCGTATCTCATTTTAATGAAGACCAGACACTCGCACCTCGCTCACAGCTGTAATTACAGCAGAGCTGACGGCAGATAACAGCTCACACCCGCCAGGAGGTGCGGCGGCAGCATCGCACCCCACCCACGCCGCTATCTGCGGCACTTCCTCCCTTCACACGGAGCTGCAAGGCCAGCTCTGCCCTCGTTAGCAATTCATTGACGTGTCACAGGGCTGTGCAGGACGGGGAAGAATTGTCCTCCAGGTTTGGGTGAGTGCCGTTCAGGCACAGCGGGGGTCAAACCTGTGCGAGAAGCAGGCTGGGGAGCTTCCTGCACGGCGCTTTGGTAGCAGGAACTGTGAAAACCAAGGCGAAGCTGCCTGGGAAGCCGCACCTGCGTGCACTCTAACCCAGCTCACAGCAGCACAAAGCTGTCACGCCTATTTTGCCAAAGACACTTTGTGCAGCAGCAGCTGAGCTGAATCTCAGCACCAAGACCTTAGAGATAGAACGGCCCTGCACACAAATCTTACCTGGTTCCTTAAAGCCCCCAACCCTGACGACTGCACGAACTGGAGGTGAGGGCACCGGGACCTCCTGACTGCACTCACACACAGCTCCAGGTCTGAGCAGGAACACAGCAGCTCAGTGCCACACAGAGCAGGAACATTACTGTTCAATGACTGTTTTTTAACTGCAAGAGAAATCAGACAGACCAGAAGCAGCCAAGTACATCTCAAAGCACAGCAGATGCACCCACTGACACATCGTTGGCGGTCACAACAGCCCCGAGAAAGCACTCATTTACTGCAGGCTGACTGAGGATGGGCGCCTGCCCTTCCTCCCTGCCATCCTCCTTTGAGATGGAAATGATTTCCCCCATCTCAGAGAGGAAGCGGAAGCCTACCAACAAGATAAGGCTCACGCTGTTCTACAGGAGGAGGGGCATTAAGTCTGGGAGGTGACAGCCTGCCCACCCAACCAGAAGCGCTGCTAAGACAGCAAGGCTGTTTTTGAAAGTTCCAAACACATCTCACATTAACAGGCATCTTTAGTTACAAAAGCAATACAGAAGGTCAAGCACCAAACTGTAAGCTCTGAGGAAGAAGCAGTTCTTGTTACAGGGCCCAGATGACTCAATCACGAGCATTTAAGATAACAGCCAGCAAACAGCTGAAAGGTTTCCTAGAGAAATCTTCTGCCTCTCTGCAGCAGGGCTCCACATGTGCTCGTCTGGAGGAGGCGGAGAGCCCAGCGCAGGGTTACCAGGAGACACGGTAAGATGACAGCAGCAGGACCTGCCCCCACTGCCACCTGCACACAGAAATGCCTGCGTGAAAAAATAAGGCCATTACAGATTTGGACAAGGCAAACATAAATGCTCAAACCAGAAAAAATAATTCTATGTATATATATATACTTAAGGAAGAGACTTGCTTGTTTGGCCCACTGCAGAAGAAATGGAACACAGACCAGCTGAGGCCAGGTTGGTAATACAGGTATCTATTTTATTAAAAAAAGTTACAAACAGGTGGGCTGTAGGGTTGTCTTACAAAATGACAAGTATGATTTCTACTGGAAAAAACTCTTTTACAAAGCATTATAGGTAATTGTTCCGTTTTTTGCACTTGTTATTCCAGATTTCACCTATCACTGATAAAGATACAGTACATTAGATACATGATGTTAGGTTACATTTGTATTTGTAGAGCCCTACTGCAGTGATTTGAACAACTCCTAAACAGATGCCATAGTAAAGACGATACATATCTCATTTATTAGCCTCTTAATCTAATAAGCAACTTCACATGCAATCTATTGAGGAAGCCTAAAATAACTTTTGGTCCCTTTTTCCCCCCAAAGTGTGCTGAAGCAACCATGTCTCGTTCTCCCAGTCCTGTCACTCTAAGCTAGTTCAAGTTTAAAGTTTCTCTTTTTTTTTTTTTCTTTTTTTTTTTTTCTTTTTTTTTTTTGGCTGAGGACCATGAAAATGAACACTGCTTTGATAACTACCCATAGGAATGAACCACTGATTAATACCAACCAACTTTTTCCACCCTCAGACAAAGGAAAACTAAGATCTTCAGGAATTACTTTTATTTCCTATTACTTCCTTACAACCTACAAAAAAGATCAACGACCACCACTTAAAAATAAAACAAAACAAAAAACCCTACTCTGAGTACAAGGTTTGGTTTAATTTTGATATTAAAGTGCAAACCTAAATATTAGCCTCAGCCTGTTGATAAAGTTTGTACAAACAGGGGAAAAAAAAAAACAAACAGACAACATTTCAAGTAACCCCACAAGAAAATATCAGGTGTTTTGATACCCAAGCAGGAAACCTGCTCTTCTCTTCTCATCAGGATTCAAACTCAGTGCTGAAGGTAGACTCAGAATCTGTATTTCTAAGTCAGCTTGTGTTATTACCAATGAAACACATTAATGTTGAGATACTGGTGATCCTTTATTGTTTCAAATGCCATCATCCACAATACATTTCGTGAGTTCGAAACTGCTTAACCTCACATATCCATCACTGCTTTTACTGGAGCTTTTCTCCAAGGTATTTAGCTATTACAGGGCAAGAATGTACATTTCTAGAAGCATGTTCAAATGACTAAAGCTGGGCTCCTAAAAACCTAGAACTTTGGTGCAGTAGGTGAGCTGCAGTTATTAAACTTCTGCAAAGAAAAAGAATCACACATTTTAAACCACTGCTAAAAAAAAAAAGCTCTCATGGATGCAACGTGTGACTAAAACTGAACAAAACTGTTTCATCTGTCCTTTGTACATTTTCATTCTGCTCTTTATACCTGTGTTATTGTTAAGATTTTCAAGTATTCAGAGAAAATGTTGATCAGGTAAACAATATGGAAGGCAATGGCTGTTTAAAGCACGCTTGCAGTTAGTATCACTGAAACCTGGTGCTTTTCCCCTTGTTACACCAACTTGTCTCTAAAATTAAACTTGTTTATTGGGAAAAAAACAAACAAACAAACCTAAAAAGCAATTTGTGACAGTGCAAGAAAAACTTTTAACAAATATTGCTTTAAAATATTATTCAGAAAGACAAATATTAGGAACTACAAAATGTAAAGTGATCTTATTTGCATTAGATTTACATGTGCAGAGATCTACCAGATGTCGCTTGCTGTGCCAGGCAAAGCTGAGCTGCCCCGACCAGGCACACAGCCCATTCTGAAGGATACATTATCCCTTTCCAGAGGCATTGAGAAGCTGCATGTAAACAAGCAAGTCGAGAAACTCAGTAGACAGAACAGAACGCTGCCATTTTTCAATGCTACAATGGTTGTTTTCTGATTAAGGGAGTTTAAGAAACCCACGATTGCCCAAAAAAACATCAGCTGGAGACTTCAGGCCCCGTTCAGATCCCTGCTGCCCAATCAGACCAGTTACAAGCAGCATCACAGCTGCACTTGCCAAGAAAAGGGATACTGCATCCACACAACAGAGGTGCCTTCAGTATCTCTCCATGACACTGTCACACGTAAACAGAAAGTCTCAAGGAACGACCGGCTGCATCGGAGGAGAAAACTTTGCCAAGAGAAAGAAGCACTGATGCGAGGTAATATACAGAAGTAACCATTTGTTTAAGGCTCAATTTATTCTCCATTAAAACTCTCTTTTAAAAGGCATTGAGTAGGTAATACTGAGTTTAAGTATTTAATAAATACAAGTTCAGAAATTGATTAAAGAAATCAATTAAAATATTAAAAATGAACTCTTGCATATTAGCCATTATATGAACTTAGAAAGCTATAAAAGGACTGATAGATAAAGAACAGATTTTAAACTTATGGTAAACATGCTAAGCATTCTGATTAAGGTGTGTGGATCCTGGAGGCCACCAACCTTATGCACTTAGATGTATGGCAATGTGCTGTAATAGAGACAGGTTTACCAAGGCTCAGCTCTGCAACCTGGGCTGAAAGTTCTCCAAAGCAGCATCTGTGCAAGTTTCCTCTGAGTTTTATCTGAAATGTGAACAAAATAAGCAATGAAAATCACATGCAATACATATTCAAAGCAAACTCAGCTGCTTCCACAGCGTGGAACTAAGCTCCAAAGCAGGTCTTTAAACACAGTGGCACACTTGAAGCTCTTTTCCTCTAATCCTGGTACTGTAAGAGGCAAATAGGTAACAACCATTCACCTCCTAACAGCTGCCCTTAAGGGACACTCAACTGTTTCTGAGGATGTCCGACAGCTGATGGAACTTCAGTGCTCCTCTGGAGTGATGATGGGCTTCACACTGGTGGCACAGAGGCCCTTCACCACTGAGCAAAGCAAAGGCACAGAACACAAGGGCTGGGAACAGGCAGGTGAGCCAACCAACGTGCTTTGACATCTGAGTTCTCAGCACTCTGATCCCCTACGTTACCACCAAAAAAGCCCTTAATGTTTCTCAGCTTCACAGCAGGGCAGCATCGTGTGCTGCTGTTCATCATGCACAAAAATGTAACCTTTATCAGCACTGCCCAGGACATTTCTGTATCTCTGATGTTCATGGGTTACGGATGTGAAAGGTCCCTGCACTGCTGGAAAAGAATTCAAACCAAAACAAAGCCAACAGCACTTAGCTTTCAGTAGTGATGCATTAGACCTACTTAATACACCTTCCATCTTTGCTTGGAGCCCAGGAGGCAAACCATTTACAGGGCAGCTCTTCATCCTACCAGATTTGATCCATCCCAAAACTTCACCTAAACGCAGCACCCAGAGCTGTGGCCAGCACAGAGTCACATGGCACAGTAATCACAGAAGCAACAGCTTCCTCAAAATGCTCTTTCAGCATCCGTGTGTTTGAATATCAGGGAACACCCAGTGTACATTTCTGATCTTGTCATTTGACTTTATTGACTACAGTGAGCACTACCAGGCCGGCCTTCCTCACCCAGGATGTTCCTACCCTCTGTAAGCAGGCTGAAGGGGGATGTTAGAAAACCTGGTAAGACAAATTTGTCTGCCTCACAGTCACACACAGAAGACAGCATACGTTCAGGTTCAATCCCTAAGGAGCACTTTTCCTTCAGCACTTGCTGATGTCAGTTAGCCATGAATGGAGGGAGCAGAAGTCACCAACCAGGGCCAGCCAAAAGTGTTCTCAACCTGTTCAGTGCCTCTAAAGAAGACCTTCAACAACAGGCACTGTATTTCAAAGATATAAAAGATGAAACACTGCCACACTGAAAATACAAGAGAAAGGCTGGACTGAGCAACAGGGAGCAGCTACTGGGAATCTCACATCTCTGAATGCAAGAATGAGCTGACAGAAGACCACTGCAGAAGCAGGACAGGGAGGGAAACATATTTTAAAAGGAAGCGTGGGTTATTCTGATTATGCACATGTTCCAGCCTTCATCTCACCAAAGGCTGCCTGGAACAGTAACTCAAAGTCATATTACTCCAGAACCGACACAATGTCCTGTGGATACCTCAGCAGATAGGTTGAGCTACCAACCAGAAAGACGTAAGCGATAACCTCTACTTAAAACTGATTCTG